AGACTAGCACCCTTTGCACGAATGCTGAGGGGCAGAATCTCCGGTGGGTACAACCACGGAATAGGACCCCATGAGTATCCAAATGCGGCGTTGTAGATCATGACGAATATGACGACCATGTTGGGCGTCCAAGAAGCTTGCAGGAACTGGAAGTAGGAAATGGCGGAGAGAGAGATCAGCATCATGAGGGCTCCAGAGAGCAGAATCTTCCGGCGACCCAGCGAGTCCACAATGTACCAGGGTGGAATGGTGGAAAGCAGGTATGTGATGGCGTTGATACCAGTCATGAGAATAGCTTGGCGACCGTACCAGCCAGCCTCTTCGAAGACGAGTGGTGCATAGTACGAGATGACGTTGATGCCGTTGAGTTGCGCGAGGGCTTGGGCGGACATGGCAATGAAGACGCGTTTGGAGTATCGCGTAAACATATCTTTGTATGATCGTTCACCTTCTTGACGCTGGAGCAGAACGTTCATCTTGATCTCTCGGTATTCATCTCGTGCTTTGGGGTTGTGAATATCGCCCTTTCCGTACAAATTAGCAATAACTACGATACCCTCTTCGTCGTGATCGTTGTCCAAGAGCCATCTGTATGCGTTAGTTAAATTCTTGGATTACGAGTGAATAACATACCTCGGGGACTCGCAGATGAGCAAGCTTCCTGCGGCCAGAAGAAGACCCATGATGCACTGCATGAAGAGCGGAACTCTCCACGACCAGTCGTTCTTGATGTACGTGCAGAAGTAGTCGACCCATACACTGACTGCGTAGCCTGTAATGTTGCCAGTGAATTCGATGCAGCCCATCTTTCCTCGGTTGTGGGGCGGCGAGATTTCGGACTGGTATACGGGTACAATGGTAGATAGCGATCCGACTCCCAGACCGGCGATGACTCTTCCGAGAAGCATCATGGGAATACCGGTAGCGAGGGTCTGGAGGGCGCCGCCGACGACGAAGATGAGGGAGCCGTACAAGATGGTCTTGCGTCTTCCAATCACATCACCGATACGGCCAACGACCAGCGAGGAGATAAAGGCACCAACTTCCAGGATAGCCACCATCGTACCGAGCTCGGCGGCGGAAGGCTGGTTGAAGTAGTCTTTGAAGTAGATACCGCTGTGATACTATTAGACATGACCAAGTACAGAGGGTGCGTAAGGGCGTACGTGATGATACCGGACATGACTCCCTGATCATAACCGAACAGGAACACGCCTAACGAGACGAACACACTTGTAAAGTAGCTGTTGCTGTTAGCTCTGACCTTCCTGTTATGGTGTCTGGTCTACCCACATCAGCTTCTTTCCGTGTAACCCGTGGATACGGGAGGGCCCATCGTTGGGTGCCATGATGGCAGCTAGTATCTTCTCAGCCTTTGAGATAGTGCGTAGTCCAGGGTCGGGTATCTCGATGTCTTCGAGGCGGAGGCGGTGGGAGCCCTTTTCGTGGAGGTCCTGAGATGCAAAGCGCGCTCGCTTTTGCTTTTGGCGTGGCCGCGACGAGTTGCCGGCTTCAAGGTTGATGCGGAGGGGATCTTCTCGGTCAGCAAGCTGGTCAACGAGGTCACCAGTGTCGCTCCAGACGGAGAGGTCCGAATCGGACGATGGGGTGTCGAAGGAGGAGCGCGCGCTGTCCTTATCGTGGTCGTCGAGGAGATAAGCAGAATCGCGGTCTCGGGGACGGGCCGAGCTCGAGAGGTTGTGGAGGGGGATGTTGGCAGGCCTCCTGTTGCTGTTGGAGTGGGACGGAATGGTGAAGGTCGCAGGCTGTTGGGGAGACAGCCCTCTTCTCCGAGAGATGGTGGTAGAAAGAACGAACAAAGCCAAAGGCGGCTGCTGGGGCACGTCACAGGGTCAAGCAGCCGAGACGAGGGATCTGGTAAGGCTAGCGCAAGAGCGGTGAGAAACTCGGTCACATTGGGCTACAAGGGAAAAAAGACAGTCACGATAGCTCGTGATCAGAGGTGCGGGAGCTGCGTCAACAGGTGCATGCGAACGAGTGAGCTCCCTGTTCGGGCTGCGTTGCCGTCATTCTTGGCGCCCGTCCAGTATGTACACTCCTTCTCCCTACTCGGTCCGACCATGTTGCGTGTGGAGCCTGCTGGCGAGCGCGGCATCTTCTGCACGATGATGTACAGGCGCGGTAGAGGGCTTTGTTTTTATCGCGGCTGTATCGCATCGAGAGATAACCATATGTACGGACATCTGGATCGCCATGTTCCCGCTACCACAATCCGGTGCCGTTGACACGGATGCTTGAGACGGAGGCTTGATAGCGGACATTAGATCCCGCGATGCAGCACACGACGTAGCCACGAGTCCTACACTACACCTACACTAAAAGTGCACCACCAGCTTTGCGCCATGTACGGGGCGGTGGAGGCGGGTCCCGAGGTCACGTTGGGGTCTTGGTGTCGACGATTGGAGCCCCGCGTGGAGACTGCAGTACTGCAAAGCGGAAAGATAGCCGCGATCAACTTCATTGTTGCACAACTCATGCGGTGTAGAAAAGAACATCGACTAGTGATGAAAACTCCATACAGATCACGAGACTCGATGCTATATAAAGAAAGAGACGCAGGGCCAGGTGGAAGTTTTCGTGAGGAGAAGCAACCTTGGGGGGCTCAGACGCGTTCTGTTCTTGCATCTTTCGCTTCGCACGTGAACGTGACAGCCCTGAAGTCTGCAGTCACTGGACGAGATGTACTCGAAGCAAAAAAACGTGATTGCTTTGCTTCAAACACGACTTATTTATATGACAGATCTCGACACGCTCTTATATACCCAACGCGTTCGAGTGTTTGCAATCTCCCCAAAACGCTGGGGTGAAGCGACTATAATACTAGCGTTAAACAAACATCAGTCAAATCCATCCTCGTCGATACAGTAGACGCCGGAGACCCTCCTGACGTTTGCAAGCTGGGGCCTCGCTTCGAGTACGAAACACCTAACTTTTACGGCCCCAGGCACATACCGCTGGTAGGCAAAGAAGGTCCGCTGGTCGACCGTGCTGCTGTAGAGTTGAACAGCCGCAGGAAAGTCCTCGTCGACCAAGTCAAGCCATCAACTCAATAAATGAGCGCCCTTGTACCACCGGTAGAGTTGTGGAGTTCTGCGTCATGCTGGTTATGACACGCCCCAGGCCCATGGCTTGCTCTGCCGCCAGATGCTCCGTGATCTACGGCCCCTCGCTGGAAGGGGAAAGGCGTCGTCGGACTGATTGGTCCAGCAGACTCCAGTTTTGATTACCTGCCCAGATGTTTGTGTGGCATCGTTCCTGTTTCTTGCTTCTGACAAAGGCCTAAGAAGGTGTTTAATGCAATTGCCAGGCATCCCTTCACTGTAATCGACGTCGGATAACTCAATTGAAATTCAACCTGCAGGGGGTTGGTTTAGCGCAGCACGCCCGCCCTGGTAACCAAACATTGAAAGCTCGCGGTCGGGCCTGGCACTCGGCGCGCCTGATTGGATTTGGCTGAAGACCTGCTTGGCTTCGTGCATTGTTTCGAGGAAGCTTCCCAGCGGCCCCAGCCACAGCGCATCATTACACTCCTCACCACCTCGACCACGACTACGACCGCTCCACGATTCGCTTTCACGTCGCTTGCCTATTCGCGCCGACCGCCCACTCTTATCTGTCGCAGTGCGCACAATCCGATAACGAGCGCTCCACATAAAACCGCGAGGCTGAGGCTCACCCGCAGCTGTTGCTGCCGAAACGAAAAGCATGTCTAGATACGGAAAGGTATGTTGAGGATGACTGCACGCTGCGAGAAGGAAACTGACAATCTAGTTTGACGATTTCTGCCGCGACACAGGCTCAAACTGGAGTACATTACCTGTCTGCTATGTATGTTGGCGTCCTACCACCCCTTTGCTCGCCCACCGTCCGCGAACGCGCCGCTAACCCCATGTTTCACAGCTCTTCAACCCAGCTTCGACAAAAGACGATAACGGATGGGAAGATGGTTGCACTCTACAGGGCTTCCCCGTTGGTGGAGGTGACAGACTTCACAATCTGGGTACGAGGCATATGCGCGTTGCAATGACATTCCGCTTACAGACCCAGGCTCCATATTGATCTGCGGCATCGCAATCATCGCCTCGCTGTTCCTGCTATGGAGATCGCAAAGAAAGAAGGCCGCCGTTGGGCGAAGGTGCGCAATCATCGACGGATACTGGGAACGCACAGCTAACGGCACGCAGAGAAATGCAGCTCTTCCTCCTCGGATACATTGTGATCTCCATCTGCGAGATCTTCACCATTGGCGGATTCCCCCTCAACTCCACTGTGCGCATTGTACGTACGCGACTCGATATGTCCAACTGCGGTGTCTAATCTTCATGCAGGTCTTTGTCGCTATCCACATCGCTGCAATCACCGCTACGTCCTGGATCCTCATGCTCAACGGCGCTGTGGGCTACCAACTACTTGATGACGGCACGGCAGTATCTATCGGTCTGCTCTTGATCTCGTCGATTGTAATCTTCATCGGTACCGGCTACATCGCCCTCGACACTGGACTCAGTTGGACGGGTTACTGGGACGAGACGCGCTTCGTGCCCAACCAGGCCTACGCGCTATACACGCTCTACCAGCTCGTTCCGTTGGTCTTCATCGTCATCTTCTTCCTCCTGGAAGCTTTCCTAGTGCTTCGCGTTCTCGGCGAGCGCAAGCCAATGCGTAAGGAATTGTTAACGTTTTATATAGAGCCCTACTAATTCCCTCCCAGTCTACCTCCTCGCAGCAGGCCTTCTATTTGCCATCGGTCAAATCTTCCAATACGTCATCAGCGTCCACATCTGCAACGGCACCGACGGCAAGATCAACGGAGGTCTATTCTCGACCCTCTTCACCCTCCTATCGGTGGTAATGATTTGGGTGTTCTGGTCGAGCATCACCGAGGACGACTGGCCCATGCCAACTGTCGCTGGCTCGGCCGCGTATAATTAGGAACGAAGTAGTAATATCGGGGGTGTACAGGCAACGGCGTAATGTTCTTATGATGGCTTTTGCCCGGCATAGCGTATACCATTTTGGGGCTCTTTGGACGCATTTGATGCGTCATGCTGACTTGTGCTACGATATACATAATGTTTGCTGAATGGAATTATTTGATGTTCAGAACTTGTCTTGACGTACAAGAACGTGTAAAGACGAGCACGCTTGACCGGGTATTCTGATAATCTATCGCTCGTCACAAGATATATACACATCTGTGCCTCTACCACAAGACATTTTCATCCAGTCATTTCAGTATCCCCATTGCTCGCTTCAGTCGCCACAGCCCCAGGATCCAGTCGACCCAAGCACCCCGGACAATTATGCAGCACCATATGCGCAAAAACATCGCAATCGATACAAAAGTGACTCTCACAAGCCCGACATTCATACCTCCCACTCTCACTAGCCTTTTGCGCCTCACTGTCTTCCTCATCCCTCTTCGTGCCATTGATTTCGCCGTTCTGTTCAGCCTCACTCCTCTGTCTATTGCTACTCGGCGGATTGCTAAAAGAAACCAGGCAGCCCACACATTGCGTGCTACCCTTCTCGCGGGCGCGCGACCAGGATACAGTGGACCAGTTGCGGAGAGGAAAGAGGTGGTGGTAAGATCGTGCAAGATGGGTGGAGAGGAGAAGTGTGAGCTGGCATGATGGGCAAGTAATAGGCAAGGAGCACACTTTGGCGCTGCAGCGAGAACATGTGTAGCCGCCCATTGTGAGGTTGCCGTGGCACGCGCACATTGTCAGTTCGTCTTCTACGACTCGCGACGGGAAGCCCATCATCATGAGCGCTGCTGCGGACTCGGGGGCTTGTGGGGCTGCTGCTGCGACGGCGGGTGCCGACGTACGGATTACGGGTGGTGTTGTGGTGGCGAGGAGGAGCTCCTTGAGCATCTCTTGGTCGGTTGCGATGGTGTATTCGGAGTCGTCGCCGGCATTTGTCCTTGTTACAATCTCTGTGCAGATTTTGAGGCGTGCGCCCATACCGATGACGCTGACGCGAATTTTGTCTCGTACGCAGGCCTTGACCGTCTGGTGTATGTCCCCCGGGTCCAAACTCAACAAACTGCCAAAGACGACGATGACCTCTCGTGTACCGTGGCTTGGTGTGTGATATAGCGTCGCTCTTGCCAGCTCCAGCGCGTTCTGTAGACTGGGTGCGCCCTTGGGCTCTTTGCCATCGTCTTTACTCCTCAAGCCTTGTATCGCTGCGACGTGTTCTGCCGGGTTGCCTGACAGCTCCGAAACTCGTATGCAGACGCCGTCGTGCATGCCGAGGACGCTCATCTGTGATATGGGGTTTTGCTCGAAGAATTCGCGGATGTAGTCTTGCGTGTAGTTGATCATCGTGATGAAGCGGTTCGGTCGCATGTCCTTCTCCATCATTGCCTCCGAGAGGTCAAGCACTAGGACTACATGGCGGATAATGCCTCGCTGGAAGGGCTTTGTGTCTTTCCGTAGCCGCTTTCGTTTCCTCTCTTCTTCCCGTTCTTGCACGCTTAGCCCCATTGTATCGTCCTCTGCCAGTTGCGTCGTTTTCGCGACCGTCCGTGAGTCCTCTGTCTCCCATGCCTGCCGCTTCGGTGGTTCCTTTACAGGTACCTCCGCTTTCCGCCTCTTGCCAGGTGCTGTAGATTGCGCGCGTGTGGTGGAGGGACCACTCCTTGTGCCAATGTACTCGTCGTCAGAGCCCTCCCCCTCAAAATCGTAATCCGAATCGGCCATCGTATGCGCGTGACTTTGGGATACGTCGAAGAGCTGTGGTAGGTGATACGTGTGTGTGTGGCTGCATGGATGTGTGGAGTTCAGGTGGATGATGCGCGTGCATAGGCGGAAGCGTGTCTCACCCGTGATAGGCTAAACGCGCTCTCACGTTTTCTTTGCAAGGAAGTCGCGTATGATCTGCCCGTATCATCTTGCCCTTTGTGTTGCAATTCTGGCATACAACACATGCGTTCAGTCTTGTAACAGATCGCTACTAGGTTTGGACTCTGCTATCATAGTCACCGTAGAAAGATTCATAGAATGCATAACCGGGACACGGATATCTCCACATGGAAATGCCGAAGACGACCCCGCGACCGACGCGAACGTGGGGCAAAGTCTCGAACTCCACAACGCGCCATCTTGCATCAACACTCGCTGACGGCTTTATAAGCTTTCCCAGATCCCTGACTCCATGTTTGCACGTTCCTTCATACGCTGCACACGCACCGTTATCACTACCTCCAGGCCAATTCTTGCTCTCAGATCACAGTCGTTGTTACCTCCACTTCTCCGAATCAACTGCTTCGGCACAACAGTAAGGGCGATGTCGGCGTTTGAGCGATTGATCAGATTTGAGGATAAGGAGGGAAAGACGGTATATGGGAACTTAGAGAAGGAGGTGCCCACCAGGGAGATTGAAGGAAGCAGTGTAGAGGTTTTGTCTGGGGACGTCAATAGTGGGTTCAAGAAGACGGGAGAGAAAGCGACAGTGGGAAAGGTATGCAATCCGTCTTCAGAAGAGGTACAGATAGCAGGAAGAACTAATATACAATAGCTCCTGAGCCCCGTACCGACAACAAATATAATCCTCTGCGTGGGACTCAACTACCGGCGCCACGCCGAAGAATGCAACCTTGCCATCCCCTCCAACCCAGCTATCTTCACCAAGCCCAGCGATGCCCTTGCGGGGCCCTTAGAAACCATTCCCATTCACCCGGACTGCCAATCGCAACTCGACTACGAAGGCGAACTCACCCTCGTCATCTCAAAGGATTGCAAGAACATCGCCGCAAAAGACTATGCCGACTACCTACTCGGCTACACAATCTCCAACGACGTTTCCGCCCGGAACTACCAACTCCCCGCTTCCGTTTCAGGCGGCCAATTCGGCTACGCGAAGTCGTTTGACAAATTCGCCCCCGTAGGCCCTTGTGTCGTGTCACCTAGCTTGATCCCTGATCCACATAAGCTGAGGTACTGGACCAAGGTCAATGGCGAGAAGAGGCAGGAGACAGGGACGGATGATATGATTTTCAGTGTAGGCCAAATTCTGGAGCATCTGAGTCGCGGGACTACGTTAAGAGCTGGTACGGTGATTCTGACAGGTACACCGAGTGGTGTTGGGCTGTTCATGGAACCGAAGGGTTTCTTGAAAGATGGGGATGAGGTTGAGGTCTATGTGGAGGGTATCGGGAGTATCATCAATAAGATGAAGTTTGAGTAAGTGGAGAAGATGGGATGCACTGTTTTCTTCATCAGGCAATATAGTCACGGTCCTGTTTCAATGAGAGAGTGTGTAGACATGATGCCAATACTGGGTTGTTTAAGTGACCAAGATTGTAAAGCATGAATTTGTGGAAGAAAAGAGCCATTCGAAGTGGAAATTACTTTCGATACAGTATCTGTCACTTTAGACTTACTCCTTAAGAACCCAGACATGTTGGATGAAAATCGGAAAAGTGTCTATCATCTTTCCATAATAGAGAGTGATCATGGGCTGGTCTTTTAGGTCAAATGAGAGCTTTCAAAGAGTAAGGTATTGCTCACTTTCACATGTACCGAAACATATTGAGCCAAAGGCTGCCATAATAAGGATGCTTCTCTATTATGGCCTACAGAAAAAGCCACATATTGCCTGCAGAGGTTGAAAGTCATAGAACGATCTGATAGCACAATTCAGGATCTGAGAACCCGTGGACGATGTCAGCAACCTAAAGTCTGCTCGTACGAAGTTGCGATATCGGCTTGCTTAAAACAAACAGTGGCCTCCATAATGTGTCCATGGAAGTTACAATGAAGAGAGATATCAAAGATGTAGCTTGCAGGCTGCAATTAGCGGCACCAAAGCTCGGCGCTGTCAACTTCACCTAGATAATATTTGCGTGGTACTGACAGGTGAGGGGTGCGTCATGGCCACGAGACGCTAGTGCCCACGCTAATTTCGAAGTTACGTTGAGGGCAGGCGACCATGTACCCGAACCATCAACTTTGAAACAGCACAACAAAAGAACGCAAATTCATCTCCCATTTCAGAGACGCGACTTACGTGTAGAACTCATCTGAATTCTCAACGCAACCAAAACAAATCACAACAATGGCCTCGGAAGTAGTCAACAAGCTGCAGAACCTGGTCACAGGAGAGTCGAAGAGCGCCCGCAAGAAGAAGAGCAAGCAAGAGGGAGCTACCGCAGTGCCCGCTGCGCCTGAGAAGACGTCGTCCGAGGCTGGCGCAGGTGGCTCCAACCCCGCTGGCAAGGCCAATGGAACCGACAGCGACAACTCATATCTCCGCGAGGTTCAGAAGTAAGTCGCAACCGCATCGTGTTTCGAGACCGCATGCAAATCTACCAGGAGTCACTTACTAAGACGCGTCTGCGTAGGAACATCCGCAACATCAACAAGAAACTGGTAAGCTAACAGTCTCCCTCTCCCCTCGAACCCTTGCTTACACGTCATCTCCAGAGCGCAACCCAAAAGGTCGACTCCATAATCGCAGCGAATCCCGGCATTTCTCTCGACGACCTCCTCGCTTCCAAGAAGATCAATGCTGACCAGAAAGCTCAAGCCGAGAGGAAACCTGGTCTTCAAGCTCAGCTTGCGCAGTACGAGGAACAATACACCAACTACAAGAAGTACGGCGATGAGCTCGAGGCCAAGTTCGCAAAAGAGAAGGAGGTCCTGTCCAAGTCACACTCGTCAGAGTTGGAGACATTGAGGGGAACAATCAAGGCCGAGGCAGCGTTGGAGCAGGAGAAGATTGTCAAGGAGAAGTTGTTGACACTGTCTCGCTTCTTGAGGGCCGCGGCTGCTCGTCGTCAGCTTGAGGATGATGACTCTGACCTTACTAAGGCTTTCGAGGGTGCTCTTCTCCAGGTTTATGGAGGAGACGCCGGCGCTGTCATGGCTGCAGAGAAGCTGATCGAGGGTGCGGAAGAGGGAGTACCATCCACCGAGGGAGTGGTACTCAGCGTCACCTGTAGGCTCACCAGCATGTTGAGTGCGCCGCCTTAGACTGACTTTCTATAGATTCCCAGGTCAAGCAAGCAGCACTCGATGAAGCCCCATTCGCCGCCGAAGAAGCTTGGGTTGACGACGTCGCGCAGTCCCAAGCAGCTCCTCCCGAGGCACAGGCCGGTTCCGACCCAACTATCACCAACGCTGGTCTTACTGAGATCGATGCTGGCGCGAAGCCTGTTACCGAAACCACCGAGACCGCGTCAGCTGCACCGGCGGCTTCTGGCATTGGAATGGAGTCAGCAAACGCTGCTGCAGAGGCACAATGGGACAAGCAACCTACCGGCGCCGATGACCCATTGACTGAGTCCTTCGAGATGGTACCGCGAGACCCCGCCGAGACCGAGACACCACACGTCGCTGCCGCTGTAACCAGCACCCAGAGCTGGGCCGACGATACTCCAGAGCCGAGCGCAGCGCCTGCCGCTCCTACGCCCGGTAACGATGGCTTCTCCGAGGTTCACCACAACCGTGGCGGCCGGGGACGTGGTGGTCACCCAGGTGGTGAGCGAGGCGGATACCGTGGCAGGGGCCGAGGCGGTCCTAGGGGCGAGTTCCGCGGTCGTGGACGTGGCGGCCGTGGAGAGTTCAGGGGTGGGCGTGGCGGTTTCCGCGGCGCTCCTCGTGGAGAATCGTCGTAAAGTCGATAAAAACATTCCTGCAAAACGACCCGCACAGTGGGGAAGACTAGTTGCATAAGCAGCTTTGATACCCTATTTGGAGCATCTGAGCAGATGAGAAAACGAAAGCGCTGGGAAGACGAGCGTACAGCCCATTGTGTTTAGTAGCATAGCATCGGTGCATAGGATCAACATTTTCTCGGGTATGGGACGGCTGTACTATATTCTGGGTTATGATCTGGCGCTTAATGAATGGCCTGTACAATATGATTTCTTGCTTCAAGTGATTGCCATCGTTCTTTATCAGTTCTGTGATTTCAAGTTTGTACTTATGTAGCTGAAGGTTGTTTGTCGGATCTGAACTAGGATAGGGTACTTGATGACGATGACTGAGCGTGCACCCCTGGTAGTAGCGGCCGTCGATCCGGAGATTTTTCATGGGGGGCACGCTGGCTCGTCATGTCCTCCGATTGGCGAGTGTTGGGTAGTACGAAGTGCCGGTGTGGAGTTGTAGCGCTCGAACTATTTGATGCACATCCCGTACACAAGATCAAACATCATCTCATAGCTCTCACTGTCAGTCCCATAGCATTGGAGGATGGCTTTTCTCATAGTATCTAGCCTGTTACTTCCCCTTCATAGCAAATACACAGAGGTCTTCGGGACCAGATGGCTGCGCCCATCAGCTCCTCTGTGCAGGAAAGAGCCGACCGCCTAGTAAATCTAGCATAGTTTCGAGTAGGTTGAATTTCAACGAAGTTGTGAAGGTATTCGGACTGTACTATCGCAGTGAGCTGCCAACAACTTGCACCGCATGGTAAAGTCAGACAACAGTGACATACTGCGCGGCAACTGTGTAGTATACAGACCCAGAAACAGGATGAGTTCACAAGACATTTCCCCTCGAACTCTGCCAGCTGTATGGGCATATCGTGTTGTTGGTGAGGCGCGGCTCTATTCTATGGCGGTGTGATGCACGAACTAGCGGGTCACTGCAGCCGTTGAGACAGGCGCCAGTCACAAAAGCTTAACCCCACAGATTCAGGAACCACGTTTCATGTCCGATCTAGTTGTAAATTTATCGTGTCTTTTCTATTGTAGACT